ATATATAACTTATAATAAATATAAAAATAGTCATGTGTTATTCTTAAAAATTAGATTATCAATTATAATTTTGATTAATTGTTAAATTTATTTTATTTTTATAATTTTATTATCATTTTTTATTAATTCATCAACATCAACGTCAACATACCCAGTATATTCCCAATAGGTTGGAGTCTGGGGGTCAGTTGTACGCAGACCTTACCCTTGTAATTATACAAGGAGGCTGTTTCCATAGCGACCCAAGGTGCGTTGCATCGTTTGATATATTTTTTTCTAGAAACTTCACTAATAGAAGAAGCACTAGAATTTAATTGGGTCATTTTGATCTAGTCCATTAACACTATGCCATGAGAATTGTCAACAATGACTCTTCCAGCTCCATATGCAATGGACATAATCATTTTTTATTAATTGTCTAATAAAAAAATTAAATACTTAATTGTAAATGTTATAATATTAAATAGACTATAAAAGATAAATAATCATATCTTATTATTTATTCCAAAAAATAATATAATTTTTTATAGTTTTTTATTGTCAAATTTAGTTAATAAATTATTTCTTACATTATAATTAATTGTAAAATTATTTTATTTTATTTTTTCATAGGAAACGAGATGGGTCGGATAAAACTCATTTAAGACTCGGGTTACCCGTTTACCCGACGAAAACACACTAACCCGCCGGATAAAACCCAACTCGAACCCGAAGATCACTAGCCGGATAACGGGTCGGGTTTGGGTAGGGTAAATTATATGCGGATCGAGTTCGAGTTTGCCAAAACTCGTACCCAACCCGACCCATTTACATCCCTAACACTAAAGTAATATAAGAGTTTTACAATAAACTACACCTGCTCAAAAGTATTTAATCTTTTTTCCAGGTTGTGAACCAAATTAATGTACTTTTGTTATAGCGTCATTTGCGTCATGTATGTGTACTTTATATTAAGCAAAGTTGGTTGAAATTTTAATAATGAAAAGGTTCCATATTCGCCGCCACAGCCATAAAACACCACGGTACAAGGCATTAATGTTCTAAGAAGATAAAACAACTTTTTTAGCTTATCAACCAATAATTGGAACAATATGGGGTCAATGTGCACTCCAATTTTATGATGAAGAACATAAAAAAAAAAAAAAAGAAAAAAAAATGTGCATACCATATTTAAATTAGAATTACGTACTATTATTCTATAATATCTTCGTTTTTTTTCTTTTTTTTTTTTATCGAAATGACATGATTAATTAAACTCGAGAAAAATACAAAGTTTCGAGGGCCAACTGACCCAATACATTAAGTTTGAACTCGTTAACGGCATAAGCTGCAGCTCTGAGTCCGGTCACCGAGGACAAATTCATCAAACAAAATATACAAAAGCTAACGAGCAAAATTAACAAATCCCTGCCTCATCGAGGCCTAGTTTGTTAACAAAACATAATAACCAACAGACAAAGATGAAAGCAGTCTAAGCAAAAGGATCAGATAAGCAACTACAGACCAATACTAGCAAACTATAACCAGTCCTTCCAAGCTATCTCAATCGTTGCTGCTTCAGGTCTTAGAAAATTTTAAAAAATCCATAAGTTCTTCGTTTTCCAAATCCACCAAATAATTTATGTTGATAATTTCATCAAACTTTGCGTCTTTAAAAACTTCGTTATTTTATTGTCATCAACTTCTTTGGGCATGTTAATATATTTTATATTAAAATATTGGCTTCTAAGCCGTTAACGAAATATTTTATTAGTCACAGTTATCATCGTATCACGTACGGCCGGCCATAATATTTTTCTATAACAAGAAAGAGTAACAGTGATTTAATTTAGATCATACTATTTAATTATTATTATTCGAGTACCGAATTAATGAGTATAAAATCCACCTTCAACAATATTATTCTTGGCATATGATCATTACATAAGCATGGATATGCCTGTAAAATAAGGCAGATACCTTGCAATAATATATGTGTGTGGAATATAATTGGGCATTGGACCATTGTGATACCACATCATGGCATAACATGGTGACTCCTTTGGTTAGAGCATCTCACTCTATTTTAGACTCTTTCATTAAACAAGTGTATGAACGATAAGTAAAAAATCGAAATTACTCACATAGACTTTATCTGACTAATCTACTTCGGACTCACCTACCTATCTACTCTTCTAGCCATGACGTGGACTTAGGTTGTGCGAATGGTCACCTCCAAACATTATGAAGATGTTCATCCCAAGCGCCAAATAGAAAAAACAAACAAACAGTTAACCAATTACCAACTATATGTATCAACACGCTGAAATCTGACTACTCTATAAAATCTAGGGCTGCAAACGAGCCGAGCCGAGTCGAGCATTGGCTTTATCGAGCAGGATTGACTTTTTTTTTAGCTGCTCGAGCTCGAGCTCGAGCTCGTCGAGCTCGATTTTTTAGGCTCGAGCTCGACTCGATAAAAAATTTCAATAGCTCGAGCTCGGCTCGAACTCGACTCGAAATCAAAATGCTCGAGCTCGACTCGAGTTCGGCTCGAAAAATTGTAAGTAGAAAGGTAAAATTATCAATAAGGACCTATGTTAACATATATATAAAGGGTATTTTAGTAATTTAACATGTACTCGAGCCGCTCGACAAGACAAAATATGGGCTCAAGCTCGACTCGAGTTCGTGCTCGAGCGGCTCGAGCTCGACTCGAGTTCGGTCAAACTCGATCTCGACTCGAGTTTTGACTCGAGCGCTCGCGAACAGCTCGCGAGCCGCTCGGCTCGTTTGCAGCCCTAATAAAATCTATACAAAAACTCTAGAGCTCCCAATGATAAAAAAATATGAATTCCCCGCATGAGTAATTTTAGCTCTCTCAATGAACATAACTTGTGAATCTAGAGTATATTCAAAATTATATACATTATGTAGGTTTATCAGAAATCATGAGTTTTCAAGTCTTCTAAAACTTCTCGAATAAACTTTAGAAACTGAATTCACATGTCTTGACGAATATATTGTCCAAATCCTTCAGATATAATTGTGTTTCTATCCCTTCAATTTGTGGAACTTTGCTCCCTTGTTTCCTTGCCAAATCTTGGAAATATCTTCATGCTCGATTTATTTCCTTGGTTGCTCTCCAGCTCCCAACTTTACGTTTTCAGCTCATAAAATCTCAAATGAGTCTCTTCCGTTATTTTTTCACTGCTATTCCTAATCCTATAAGCAAGACAAAATAAGTAAATACATATCAGTGTTAATACTTAATGAAATAGAATATGTATGAATTAAATATCCTAATAAATCTCTAACTCTTATTCTTTTTATTATCTAATATTATTTCTTTTCCTACAACTCTTTTCCTTCAACCATTAGTTAAGGTAAATATCACATTACAAAGAAATTGTCATATGCCAACGGAAAAATCAATGATAATATATTTTACTTAATATTGCAACAAATAATCTTGTGATATGAATTTCGTTGGAATGATTCCAATAGATATATTCTGTTGGAATGAACTTTATAGTGGAATTTTAGTTGTAATTTGATGATTGCAACGACCATTCATCCAACTGTTTACTATCATAGGAATTTTCATTAAAATATGCAATTTGTTCACTCCTATTTTAACCGTAGAATTCTCAATTAAATCCAACAAAAATTTCAATGAGAACTCGTTATAATTGGATGTTTTTGTTGGAATTAATTGATAAATTTCAACAAAAATAATTGCATTAGAATATCTATTGAAATTGTCATTGAAATTCCATGAAATATATTTTTTGTTTGAATTTTATCTTTTTTTTTTTTATAGTGTTTCCTATTTCAAAAAACACAAATATAATAAATAAATATCAACCGAGAATTGAAATATCAGAGTTATGAGCACGAAAGAATTGAAACTTTTGTATAGCAATAAGAAAAGATATTGAATCTACAACTCGTAATGTTTTAAGTTTATAAAGAAGTGATGGAATAATTTCAGCTTGTTAATTTATCATAGTCAAGGTGTAAAGTATAAACACAGCAGTGTCAAAAGGGCTAATCCTGTCCATCCCGTCTCGTCTCGCACTAGCCCGTGGTTCGAATGGAGTGGGCCAAAGTTGTTGGAATATCATTTGTGAGTCGTCTCACATTGATTTGATAGGATAAATGGGTCTAGTTTATACGTTTAGTGGACTACTCATTTCATCACTAATTGATCTTGGGATGGAACCTTACTAAACCTATGATCAACCTCTTATGATGCGTTTATCGCACCCTTGATTCTCCCCGATTATGAACCTATTCTTCACTTATTGCTAGTTAAATGAGAGGATATATTAATAAAAATATAGAATTTCTATATTTAATTGTTTTGCAATAATATCAAGGAAATAAATAGCTCGCTAAAGTTGTCGCTATTTGAGAAATAGCTTTTTTTGGCAGCGTGCCGCTATTTGTATTCATGTGCAATTTAGCCGCTAAATCCCGTTAATATAGCTCCGTTATAGCTACAATGTCATTAACGTTTTAGTCCCCTATTCAAAACCTTGAATAATATAGAATTTTCGTAAATTCTAAAATTATAAATAATTTAAAAAAAATAAAAAAATAATAAGTCGGGACTGCTTTGGACCGCAAGCTGCCCAGCGTGAGCCAATAGGCATGCGATTGAATGGACTGGTCAGATGAAGGCCCAAGCCCGTCTACTGGGCAGACAGGCCAGTCCGCGGGCCACAACCCGACTGCGATATCTAAACACGTAGGTAGCATTCTAAAACCAGATGCCACGTCAGCAAGTACATGTGCACTATATATAACGACTGTTCGAATATGGAAAAGCTTAACTAGAACACGGAAAGTCCCAAGCCAAAGAATTTGCTCTACGGCGGGTGGAGAATATATATATATAAAATACACATATATTTTCCTCGACCAGTCCTTTTTTCTCACTTAGCCACTAACTTGATTTTCCAATTATGCCCTCGATAAAGAAAGTAGCCGCCGCCGAGACTTACCCGCCAAGCTCCCCGCCACCGCCGCCAGTGGTGGTGGTGAGAAAGTACAAGGAAGAGAGTGACAAGGCGGCTGTAGAGGAACTCGAGCGGCGGTGTGAGGTGGGCCAGCCTGGAAAACCGTCCCTGGTCACCGACCTCATGGGAGACCCGGCTGCGAGAGTTCGTAATTTCACGTCACACGTTATGCTGGTAAAAGTTTTTATTTAAAAGCTTTTCTTTTTTTATTTATTTATTTATTTTTTTTTTATCTTTAAGTGTTGGATTTAACCGAATATATAATCGTGTGAAATGCTAAAGTCCTGTTACCGAATCATTCCGTCGAGATTTTTAACCGTTAGATCATCATGTAACTGTCGTGAATAATTAATCTAACGGTTACAAATCTCGACGTAATAGTTCGGTAACGAAGCCTTAGAATCTCATTATAAATAATAATTGTCAGTTCCGTTAAATATTAATCATAGCCCCATAGGAGAAGTCAAAAAGTTAGGTGTAGTAAAACCAAGATTAGTTATGATTAAACTTAAATTTAATATCATGTAAATAATTGTCACCACATATCGTTTTCTTCCACGTTTTATATTGTTATACAGTGCAGACCACATACGTTTTCACTTCATTATTTTAAGTAATTAAATTGCCACTTAGATACAGTTTGTAAAAAGAAGTTTTAAATTAATTAACAATTTTTTGTATATATTTATATATGTGTGACCAAGAGCAGGTTGCTGAGTACAGGCATGGAGGTGAAATTGTGGGGGTCATAAGGGGCTGCATAAAAACTGTGACAAATGGAAAGAAAATGTCAAGCACTCAAATCCCAGTCTATGTGAAGTTGGCTTACATTCTTGGCCTCCGAGTTTCATCCACTCACAGGTTTAATTGGAATTTAATTAAGGGAAATGCTACAGTACTGTTACGGAATCATTTCATCAGGATTTGTAACCGTTAAATCATATATAACCGTCATTGATAGTTGATCTAACGGTTACAAACATCGACGAAATAGTTCCGTAACGGGACCGTAGAATCTCCATATTAATAGTAGCCTCATAATTTTGAAATAAAATTTTATAGTGAATACCCACATTGCTATTACTTAGGGAAAAATAAAAAAAATCGTTGTTATTATAAGAAATTAAATTGTTAGGTATAGGCATATGAGAGGTTTGGGGTTAATCCCAAGAAATATATATATACCAAGTACATTTCATCATCATAATGCATAATAGTCAGTGTGCTTTTAACGTGACCCGACCTGCACCCCTCATCATAAAATTTAGTAATATTATGTTGGTTGATTCTTTTGTTAAATAATTAAATAATTACGATGATTGAGTACATTTAATACTAAACTAATATATAAAAATGAAGATTCTGATTATGCATCCGTACAGTGTTTTAAATAGTTAATTAAACATATCATGATATGATTAAAGCATATATACTTGTCAACTCACACAATATAAAGTCATACCGCATCATTCACTAAGCTATAGCTACAATAAACTATATATATCAGGTCTTATATATCTTCCATAATGCCTTATATATTCTTGACTTTATACTTTATATGCTTTGCCTAATTGAAAACTAGAATAATAAGAATCATAATCTCCACCATAAAAAAAAAAATATCGATACTTGATCTGCATGCAGGAGGCTCGGTATCGGCACAAAACTCGTTCGCGAATTGGAAAAATGGTGCAAACGAAACGGTGCCGAATATGCATACATGGCAACAGAATACAACAACCAGCCTTCTCTAAATTTGTTCACGAAGAAATGCAACTATGTCAAATTTCGCAATCCCAGCGTATTAGTACAACCCGTTCATCTACACTCCAAGCCGTTATCCTCCGATGTAATGATCGTTCGGATTCCACCACAACTGGTGGAACTAGTCTATCGAGACATATTTGCAAACTCTGAGTTCTTTCCGAAAGACATCGACTGTCTACTAAGCAACAAACTCAGTCTAGGCACTTTCATGGCCTTACCAAAGAAATCCCTCTCGAAATGGAACCCTAAAACCGACAAGTTGCCATCCTCTTTTGCTATCCTCAGCGTTTGGGACACTAAGGAGGTTTACAGGTTGCAAGTGAAGGGCGTCTCGGTCATTACGCACATCGCGTGCCTAGGGACTAGGGTTTTGGATGCCATGGTTCCATGGCTAAAAATCCCATCTTTCCCTAATGTGTTTGAGAATTTCGGATATTATTTCTTGTACGGGCTCTACATGCAAGGCAGGGAAGGGTCTCGACTAATGAGAAATTTGTGCAAATTCGCGTATAATATGGCTAGAGCCGATGTCGGTTGTAGGGTCGTGGTGGCCGAGGTAGGGCAAATGGACCCTGTAAGAGAGGCCATTCCACATTGGAAGAAGTTCTCTTGGGACGAGGATGTTTGGTGCATAAAGCCACTTTTTGGGCAAGTTAAGGAAAATAATTACCATGAATGGTATAGGTCTTCGGTTTCTTCTTCAGTTATATTTGTTGATCCGCGTGATATTTGATATTTTTTTTTTTTCTCTATTGTGTTTCCCTTTGTATATTGTCTTATACATCGCTGAATATTTGTTTGTACACCTGTTAGGCAAACCTAGCAAGTCGAGACCTAATTCTACAACTAATATATCATATTTTCAAATTAAAATACCGCTCTGAAAAAATATATAAATAGAAGTATTACATTTTATGACATAAAACTGCATTTTTTATTATTAAATTTATAAAATAGAGGGAAGAGGGTGCGATCCCACATATGTGAAACATACCATCAGAAAGTGAGCATAGGTGTATCATAGTGCATCATAGTGATGTTTCATCTCAGCACCATAAGAGGGTGAGCCTAAGTGCACTATAGTGAGATCCATCTCAAAACAATTAGTGATAGAGGAGTATCCCAATAGGCTTATAAAGAGTATCCCAATAGGCTTATAAACTAAGCTCATTTCCCTCATAAAATTAATGTGGGACAACTGATAAATAATATTTCAACACGCCCCCTCACTTGTGAGTCCTTGAGGTTCCATCCCAAAACTAATTGGTGATGAAATGAGTAGCCCACTAGGCTTATAAGCTAGGCTCTGCCCTCTCACTTATGAGTCCTTGAGAATTAACCATACCTAGTAAGGACGTTCTATGCCAAAACCAATTGGTGATGAAAGAAGTAGCCCACTAGGGTTATAAGCTAAGCTCGTTTTCCTGATAAAATCAATTTGGAACAACTCACAAGTGATGTTCGAACACGCCCACTCACTTGTGAGTCGTGAGGTTCCATCTCAAATCACTTAGTGATGAGAGGAGTAGCACACTAGGCAACCCCCCGTTTAGTTGATTTTTAGGAAAATAGATTGATAACCGAGTTATCCGAACCTCAGGTCGTCTCTCAAAAAAGGCTATTCGCAACTTTGTTCATTTGGTTCATTGTCAAATGCACAAAAAGAAAAAAAAAAAGTAGTAAACATGTTAATCGATTGACTTGGAGATTTTTAAACTAATTTAGACTACGGAAATGACATGTAGTTAATTAAAAGATGCAAGCTTGGAAGAAAGATTCGAACTTTGGTCACCCAGAGTCTCCTCGACTTGAGACAAACAAAAATAAAACAAAGATAAACATGCTAGCAATAAGGTTCTAGGAAATTAAATCAACCCTTCTAGCTAAATGATCAAGCTTTAAACAAAATCTTAATCATTAACACAAGATAGGCATGTTCAACTCCTAATTCACTTAACAAGCAAGAAAAATAAAAAGATCCTAAAACCGAGCCTAGACACATGATTCCGGCCTAGACACCAACTTTACCTTGAATAACATCATAAGAAAGAAGGACCAAAATCGAAGTAATAAGTCCTAAGCAAGCTATTTTCTTTTCTTTTGCGAACTCGGATGAAATTAATGAGAAAATGTCGAAACTTTAATAGAAAACGGCATAGCCGAAAAAAGTCAAGTCTTGGAGCCCTTTAACATAAAAGTAGAAAGAACAAGGAAAATAGCTAATTCCCAAAAAGGAAAAGTGATAAAAATGAAATCTAGATCCTCCCACACAAAGGGACTAAATGTATTTATACTAACACAAAAAACATACATTTCTTTTATGCACATTTAATGACAAAACTGCACTCGCGACCTCGCGGAATGGTGCTCACCGCAAGTGCCAAGCTGGCACGAATCGCACCCGAACTCGCGGCCTTGCGAACGGCTGTTCGCTGCGCGTGCCGGGTCTCCACGAGTCTCGGATCGCACGGTCGCGGAATAAGCCACGCAGCGAGTGCTCGAGTCTCGCGAGCTCTCTCGCGAGGCCGCGGAATGAAGGTTTAACTGTAGCTATAGAGATAAAAAACTAATCTAGGTGATCAATTTAAAGACTAGACAAAGCTAAATGCATCATTCAAAATACGCACAATTCAAAAAAGAATAAAATTATCAACCACGAAAATCAATTAAACATTGTCAAGTCGTAGAGTTCGACTTCCCCAAAATTAGAAATTACAGCTAGCTTGACATAGTAAATAAAAAAAAAAAAATAAGAGAGAAGAACAAATTTATCCCTCTTATACGGATGCGGCCTCCCTCCGCGACCGATCGGGTTCCCAGTCCGTGGCTACTTGCGGCATCTTTTTTTCATCTTTTTTTCACCTTCTTTTGTTACTACTTGAATCTCTTTTATTTTCCCAGCCAAATAAATCCTAAGAGCCTGCGCAATTAAATCATTGGCTTTGATGGCTGAGTAATATATTTCCTCCAAGTCCAAGTCTTGTGTATATCCCCAATTTATTTCCAAGTCTAATTATTTACTTTTCCTTTTTGTACCCCGCAGTAAATGGACTCCACAGCAAACTAATTAACATATCATTTTGAGTCCATCTCCTGGTCCAATAAATCGGTTGTTGGGTCATATTTGTGCACACTTCCTATGGCTGCGTATGACTGTGTGGCTATTAACTAAACCCCCAAGTGGGCCTACTAAAAGGCAACTCAGGCCCAAGTTATGTGGCCTATATTGGGTTGAGTATGGGGCACTCCCACACTGTTTGCTTCAATATTCCTTCGACGTCTTCTCGTCCATAGAAATTTTTCAATATCCTAAGAATAGAATATAAAAGTATCAAAGCGCTGGAATCCATTCAAATAAATAAATAAATGGAAAAACCTATAAGTGTGACAATTATGAATATAAAAATATGCCAAGTAATATATAAAATATTTTTTTCGACCAATCAAGTAACACTAAAAAAAATAGTAATCTCTCTCTCTCTCTCTCTCTCTCTATATATATATATATATATATATTCCACCAATAAATCTTAATTATTAGTAGAGAAAATTTTGTAGTTGTATTTTCAACAATTTTTTAACAAAAGAAAACACCAATTTCTTTCCATAATCTTTATTTTGTTTTTAGAAAATAAAATAATTACTTTTTTTTTTCTTTTACATGGCAATTAGAAAAAGGCAGGAACAAAACTAATTATTTTTTCTATAATCATTATCTTTATTTAACTAATAATAAAATTATTTTAGTCGAAAATATTTGTAATTACGTACTGCGCAATATATGGTTTATATTTAGAATATTTTTATTAATAATGTAAAATTAGTTGTTTACAACAATTTAAAATATCAAACATGTAAATTTAAAATGATAAATTAGTGGATCGCCTTTCTAGCTACTATGCAAAAAATTAACTCAAGAATAAAATTCATAACCTTTACAACATGAATTTTTTAGATTAAAAAAAATTATGATAAAACTATAAAGTCTTACGAGTTGTGTATTGAAAAATGAGCCAACTATCAATCCGGCATAAAAGACAATTAACATCCATTTGAGATATGTAAGATAATAAAATGTGAATTATGTGCCTGGAGATCAAATTATAGGTTCACGTCTATATTTAAAACTCACACATTTAAAACTTAAATTTAATTATAAAAATTTTTAGTAAGAAATCAAACCATAAAAAGCTTAAAATGATATGAAAAATACGAGCAAATATTTGTATGTCACGACAGTTGTAAAAAATACAAACTATATAAATAAAATTATTCATATAAACAAAATAATATAAAATATATTTTACCTTTTTAAGATTTGAAGTGGCAATTTTAAGCCTTTTGGATTTTTTTTTTTTTTCCGAAACGCTAGATATAATTATAAAT